ATGTCACTTCTTAACCTTTTTTTCTCCAAACTTAACATACACAGATCCCTAAGCCACTCCTCATAGGATATGGTTTCTAGACCTTTTATCATTTTGGTTGCCCTACCCCGACACATTCCTTCCTGAGGGGTACAGAAGCAGTGGTTTGTGAGCCTGACAAGATGTGCTGGAAGGTGTGTTGTCTCCCTGGGGCAAAAATCTGTTATGTGACAGCTAGGCTGACAAGACTTTTCAAGCCTACTGACCACTACCCCTTCCTCTTGGTCCACATGGGAACCAATGATACTGCAAGGCATGGCTTTCATAATCAGAAGGGATTATGAGGCTTTGGGTAGGAAGCTGAAAGAACTGGATGCACAGATTGTTATCATCTCTTCTCCCAGTTGAAGGGCATGGTCCAGGAAGAGAGAGGAAAATAGAAGATGTGAATAACTGGCTCCGTAAATGGTGTCGCCAAGAACTATTTGGATTCTTGGATCATGGGCTACGGTTCCATGAGAGTGGACTTCTGGCAGGATGGGCTGCATCTCACACCAGTTGGCAGAAACATTTTTGCCAATAGCCTCAAACATTTGATCAGGAGGGCTTTAAACTGAGTCATGTGGGGGAGGGAGACAGTATCTTGGAAGGTATCTTGGAAGGAAGGAGTACATCATGGGTTGGAGATAATAGTCAAAATGTTATAGATGGAACAAAGCAAATGATGCAAGGGCCTAACAATGGGAGGCAAAAAACCCTCACAAAGGTAGCAAATGGGGAGGACTCATGCTCTTAGATGTCTCTACACTAATGCACATAGTATGGGAAATAAACAAGATGAACTTGAACTCCTGGTACAACAAAGCAAATACAATATAATAAGCATCACTGAAACCCAGTGGGATGAGTCTCATGATTGGAATGTAGGAATAGAGGGGTATAACCTTTTTAAGAGAAACAGGCCAAACAGGAAAGGGGGAGGAATAGCATTATATGTCAGGGGTGTTTAAACCTGTGAAGAGATCCAGGAATTAAATCCTGAAAATCAGGTAGAGAGCATCTGGATAAAAATTAAAGGGGAAGGAAACAACAGGGATGTTATTGTGGGAGTCTACTACAGACCCCCAAGTCATACTGAGGAATTGGATGATGCCTTTCTAGAACAGATGACCACACACTCATAAAAGAGAGGTGTAGTAGTGCTGGGTGACTTCAACTATCCTGATATTTGCTGGAAGTTATCATGATATGGCCTAAGGGCTAATCAATAAAAGATTGATTGATTGATTTGCTGGAAGTCAAACTCAGCCAATACTTCATGGTCGAGCAAATTCCTCACTTGCCTTGAAGACAATTTCATTGTCCAAAAAGTGGAAGAGGCAACAAGGGGATCAACTATTTTAGATCTGATCCTAACCAATGGCGATGACCTGATAAATAGGGTGCAAGTGGTGAGATCCTTAGGTGCGAGTAATCATGTTATCCTGGAGTTTCTTATACAGTGGAAAGGAGAAGCTAGGC